CGTATTACTTATGCAAATTGAGTAAGGGTCATAGTGTGAGTTGCGTTCACAAATAACAAAGTGTCAAATTATTTTGAGCGCCGTTCGGAATAAATTTAGTCAAAATCACACAAAGGAACGCACACACAACACACAAATACTAGTACTCAATACATATCACGATTGATTGACCAGTTATATAGCTGCTTGAACTATGCACACAAGGACATGAATACGTAAATACAGGTCACAGTTCGACTTGCGTAGAAAACGTTACAATGTGTCAAGTGATTTGAAGGCGTCTTTGTCCCCCTTCCCATTACAGAGAAGCAATACGCGTTGTATTTTGAATCGTCATTAAAACCTAAATTAATTACGAATAAAAACACAAGTTTATAGATACAATGTATGATCATCGTTACTCCAGCGGTCAGTTGTTAAGCGGACGATGTTTTTGAAGCCACCCATAGCAAGAGCGAGCGAACAAATGCGAGTGAGGTAACAAAAGCGAGAGAGCGAGCCAAAAAAAAAAAAAAAAAACGGTCAGTTTCCGGTCGGAAAGCAGCGAGCGGTCGGAAATTAAGCGATAAGCGGTCAGAAAAAAAGGCGATAAAAGGGGGAGGTTGGGCGGAATGAGTACTGTATACTCGAGGACCACCTCAGAAAAGATAATTTTTTGGTGGGTTTAAAATTGAACCATCTTCCCAACCACGAAAAACTATCCAAATTACATTTTTTGTTCACACATTTTATTACAATACGGTTTACATACCGTCTGAATTTATGGTGCAAAAATGGGTAGGGTCTGTGGGAAAACAGTCAAGGCAATTTCTTTATCATTATCTTCATTGTAGAATGTTTTCGATTATACGCAAACTCTCGATACAAAGCAATTTCCGCCATGGTGTTTTTAATTTGACCTTAACAACTTTCTTTGACCTAACAGGTCACATCTTTCTTTAACCAATCAAAATGCTGTGTTGTACAGATTAAGCTTTACGATTATTGACGAAGTAGTTTTTTCAAAGCAATATGGAAGTGAATCACCGCGATGTAAAAATGTGATCTGTTAACACTGGCTTAGAAAATATTTAAAAAAGTGAAGGAAATTCCTAAATATACAATAAATTCACTAATTCAATATTTTAAAGAAACTTACCCCATTCTCCAAAGGTTCAATGTATAAATCTTCTCCAATCTTTGACAAACAGTGTATTGCCTTTCCAAAAACTGAAAACATGACATAGGTAAAGATACAAGAATTATCATATACTGAATTAAAACAGTAAAATACAACAAAACCTGTCAGACAAAACTCTCTCCTCAAGCTTCATATTAACTTATAAAATTTACTTGTCATAATCTATTAATGCAAGTAAATTACTATTTAGACTACCCTTTGTTATACTAATCACAGAAGGCCATGCACTAGGATGTTAAACCTGATATTTTTTAGAAGTTTAGGCCTAGAACACAATGCA